TGTTTCGTTTTGCACCTTGCTGGGGTCGAAGGCAGTTTGCCAGCAGGTAATAGCCGTGCTAACTGACCGCCTCTGTTCTGACTCACTTTGTGGGCCGATATAGCGAACGTCAAAGTGCTTGCATTTATATATGCTTCTGGATTGTCGATATGTTGCGAGGAGGATATAAGATTCTGGATTTTCGATATGTTGTGGAGAGGAACAATTGCTGCGACTGGACGATGCTGGTCTCTTACGGCTTCAGTCGGCGAATACAATTGATGATCGCCAGCGTGCCACACCGAGTTCTGTGGCTCGCGCTGCGTGACGCGATGCTTTTTGGAGCTTCCTGTGGTGACGAATGAACGCTTTACTCGGAACCGCTTCGCGTTGCGTTGTGCCGACATTTGCCAACGAATTGAAATGTCCGTAGCTACCTGTCGCTTTCCCAGGCCTGGATCGGTCTGTAGAGCTGCAACAAAGAGACAAGCATAGGCGGTTTTAAACAGCTGATGACTTCGCACCCACGCAAGACCCACCACTCATGTGGTACTCGCCCACTAAAATCAGGCTTGATTTGCACAAGGACGCGCCCGTGGCTCGAACGATTGGCATCGACTTGACAGTCCACCTAGCACATATGATCAATGACGCATTTCATTTCCGTGGAATTTTCTTGACTGACACTTGGTGACATCTCGGCCACTTCATTCGGCGTCTAGAACGGCATGTCCTTACAAGGATCACCGTTTCAAATCCGCGAATTTCGAGGCGCTCGGAGTTTAGGAATCGTGAGTTGTGATATGGTGCGATACAGTGTCCGTAGCGGCGGCATTACGTGGTGGAAAAGGAGGGGCTTGAGGGCAGCAGCGCGTCGGATCGCAGTGGACGAGGACCAAGGCGCTGCTTGAAAGACGAGAGGAGGATAATGGGAAAAAAGACGCACGTGCGGAGATGCCATGGTCGAATTACACACGGCGCGCGCTTCTACGGCAGGTCTTCAAGACTGGAGGAATCAACGGACGCGCTGACGGTGCGAAAGTCTACCTTGTCAAAGGATTCGCTGGAGAAAGGTCGAGAAAGTCGTGACGGCGAGTGCTATGTACAGACGGTGACTGTGACTTTAGCGACTGTGAGTCCAGCCCTCACTGTTTGCGAGAAATGTCGGCCGACAGATTCATCGCGTCAGTGCGTTTGGACAAGACGCTAAAGTCGGAGCTGAGACGAGGGTGGGCGGGCGTCGCCGAGCCGCTGGCACCGATGCGAGGTGAGTGCAAGTCGAGTCCTTGACCGCTTCCAAGGCCCAGTCCGATTGCGTGCGCATCAGCATCCGTCTCGGCGGACGCTTTGACAGCTCCCTTGAAATCGAGCAATTGCCCAGGGGTATGATTAAGAATATCAGAATACGAAAAGAAACTCAGGCGCTTGGTAGTCGATGATGGCACTGGTGGGGTGCTGACGTCCGGCAAAGCGCCAGGCATTCCAGGAGCACCGCTGGCCGACTTGCTGCGCTCCATGGCAGGCGAACCAAAGCGCGGTGAAGCGCTTACGCCTCGTACGTAGGGCGAGGCGGACGTAGACTTGCCGAGAGCATCGGCAAACGCTCCAAGGCTTCCATCTGCAGTCGCTACGTCTGAGCTGGCAATCACCGCGCCATCCATGCTGAGACTGCTGGATGGAAGCACTTCGCTGGCGGACGATGCCGGCAAATTTGGAAGCGGGGCGAGCGTCGAGGCTGGCGAAGAGGTGCGGAACGGGTCGGGCATGGACACACCGGGAAGAGGGGAGGCTCCACCGGCGCCGGCCACAGACAGGCTGGATGCTGCAGCGGGAGGAGAAGGCAACGCATTGCCTCTGGAAGTCGAGCGAACCTGCGACGTGCCAAACAGAGTGGAGCCCAGAGGGGGTAGCGGAGAGGTTGTGCCGCTCTCCAAGACTTGCTGCATTCCAGCACTTGCCGCATTGCTGAATGGACCAGCACTTGAGGAGCTACTGGCATCCGAGAGGGGTCTTCTATGGCGGCGAGAAATCACTGGAGATGCGTTGGCACTGGGTGCACCAGCGCTACTTGCCGGATGGCTCATGCCGTCCAGACCAAATCGCTCCGCGAGCTGTGCGGCCAAAGTTCCAGGCGGTCCAACGTCAGCTCCGACAGAGGCACCCCCAAGAGGTGACTGAGTGTGCGCCGAGAGAGCCTGTGTTGACAGCGCAGTAGGCGCGGGTGCGGACTGCGGCGCTACGATTTCAATATTCTACGTCGTGACGGAAATGACATGGTGAGCCAAGGGGCGCACTTTTCATGCATTTTCGATGACACTCACATCACCTTCGCGAATGGCTTCCACAGCGTCATCAAGCACAGGAGGAATGGCCACCTCGATGGCCTCTGCCTTGGTAAAGGAGTGGTTCGCATCGCGGTGTTCAATATCCCTCTCAAAGATGCTTTCTTCTTGCGCATGAGCATATCTACCAGAAGCGACGCGCTGAGAGTCTGAACCTTGAAGCGTTGAAGAGCCCATGCCAAGTCGGGCTGGACTTTTCGACGGAGAGGTGGGTCGGGTTGTGGGCATGCTACGCAACGCAAACACTGGCTGGCCGATCTCTTCGGCTGGCGATTGCGCGGGTGGATGCGTGAAAAGCGTGGACAAGGTTGTTGCCTCGCGAGGATCAGCGGGTAGACCATGAGCAGATGGTAAAGTTCCCAGGCTGAGACCAGCCGCACTCGAAGAAGTGGAGATGGCAGACACTGGGGAGGCCGGAGCGCCAATCACATTACCAGTGCTGTTGCCGCGGAGGAGCGGTGCCCGAATGGGTTGGCGATTGTTTGTCGGAGCTCGCGCAGTCCGAAAAGTCTCGACTGATGGCTGTGCGACCGCTGATCCAACCCCGAATGGTACCGGCACTCCAGACGTACTGAGCACTGGCAGCTCTTTGAGCGTGCCATGAGGTCCAGTGCCGTGAGGCAATGCAGGTCGCTGAAGCGGGCTACTAGGTCCGGGACTGTTTGGCCCGGGCGACGTGGCACCCGTGCCATCCGACAGCGCTTCGAGCTCAGCTGTGTCAGGGTTGCTGAACACCTCCTCGCCCTCATTGTCGTCATCTCCGTCTGCGCCATCCCCATGAGCAGATCTGGACGAGGTCGACAATTGCTGAGCATGAGCAGCGGCGTGAGCAGCAGAGGCGAGTGCGACTGCCTGAGCGTGTGCATGACTATGAGCAGCAGCGACCTGCGGACTGAGTGGGGCTCGGCCTCGAGCTGGTGGAGGGGAGGAGCTCATCTTGAGCAAAGTGCAAAGCTACTAGCAAAGGCGTTGGAACGTCTGCTGAATTGTCTCGAGAGTCGCAGCGCTTCGACTGCCGTGGAGTGTAGCGAAGCGCAGCACAGCTTCGCTGAACGCACAACGCTGTTTCCTGCTGCCTTGAACGACTCCTGCGTGCTCCCAACGTACGACAGTGAAGCGCAATCGAACAGGAGACGAGAGCGATCAGTCGGGGGTAATGGCGAGAATGTCCTGCTCGAGATGTAGAGGGGTGATGCGGAGTGAACGGTGAACAGTGGGGGTGATGGTTTGATGCTAACGAGGCATTCATTCAATCAGGGGTGCATGCCAACGTGAATGAAGATCAGCGGCAAGCAGCGTGTGCACTCACTACTCGTGACTATTCTCACCAGCAGCGACATTGTACCGGTACGCTTCTCTGCATGTACTTTTGCCTCCGCGCAGTGCCAAGTGGGGTGCCTGTCTGGCTCGGACGGCTGCGATGAATCCTAAATTCAAATCACGATTCGCAATCACAATTTCGACAATCGTGAAGCATCGACAGCGCCTCGCTATGCGCCGGCCCGAGTTCAAATATCTGTGCTGCGCCATGATGATTGAGTGATTCGCGACTCATTGCTGCGCTGATGCTTGCCTGGAGCGGTGCTGCTGCTGCTGTGTGCCGGCTGCGCGTCCTGCAGATGTGTGATGCTCCTGTCTCGTAGGGTGCACCCACACACGCAGCTTGCATGCAGTCATGCGGGTGCTGGGGCCGCATGGATGAGCCCGTCAGCGCGCCGTCATCACAATAAGTGCGGAATCTGCATACATGCATGCATGCATGCAGCGGCCGTGCAGCAGCACTTTTCAGCACGGCGAGACAATCAGCATGAGCCTATATAGATATTCGAAATTTGAATCACATCACGCGGATATAGAACACAACTGAAACCTTTCATAGCGCAGACTTCAATCACCCTTGCTGGCTCCATGCACTCGTAGGTAATGCACCGATTGTGCTGCATCTGTGGAGCTGTCCTGACTGTGTCGAAATTTGTGCCCATGACCGCCTCGCCTCGCTTTGACCCTCAATCCCAACTTCACGCTTCACATGCACGGTGAGTTTGGCGCAGAGGAGCCCCCACTGGGTTAGGGCGTCAAATTGAGATAAAATGAGACCTTGAATAGAATCGACACATCACACGCAGTCTCAAAGCACGGCGCCAAAAGCAAGCACATCTTGCATGTGAATCTCGCGTCGTTTGCTCTGCAGGCTATTGTACACTGTTGCGATGCTTCAGCGTGCACATCTGCACTTGCGCAACGCACCTCACTTCCGTTTGCGGTACCGAGCGGAACCTAGACATCGACGTTGCGCGCGCGTTCAAGCATGCAATTTAGTTGAGCAACCCCGCGGTCAGGGGTACGCGAGGTCAAGATCAAGCGTCGGCGGTCTCATTGTGAGCGGATGAAGCTGCGGTTACGGATTCCCTGTCGTGTGCAACCATTCTTAGCCTGAAGACGAGAGGCGCAGCTACCTTGCGTGGTCTCAGGCACCTCGACTTCTGGACGCCGCGGCCCAAAGCTTGCAGCGCGATGATATATAATAATGTGAATGCTGTGCTGTGCGTCCACGCATTCTCGTTTGAAGCACACACTGTGCTGAGGGAAACCGGGTGATGCTCGATCAGCGCACATCATGAATCGGCATGCTGTGCTGAACGGCGGGCTGTGCATGCTCTGTTGCAGGGCAGCGAGACTTCTCTGCACATTCCGAGACTGAATGAAACGGGCTGCCGTCATGGCTGCTTCAGCCAGGATCCACAAGCCGATCAATTGCTCGGCTCACCGCACCGAATCTGGAGCGGAGGTATCTCTCCGTTGACCCAACGCGTCATCACGCTCGGCGACTTGCAAGCCACCTCGCGAGACCCCGCTTTGAGCGTTCGCGTCGGCAGCCACGCGGCAGGCAAGGAGCGTGCAGCAGCTACAGGTACCGTACACAAAGGCTTGCCTCGAGGAGCTCCGATCGAGCGAATGACACCACGATCACAACTCTCTGCCTTGCTGGCTTTGGGACCAGAAGGTAACGAGCACAGGAGCATCTTCTCGTAGTGTGCCAAGTACAGCACGCATACCCGCCATTGTTGCTCTTCCCGGCTTCCCGCGCCTCCTCTGCTGGAACGACCAAAGAGCTGACTCGTGACTTGGTGCGCGTGAAATGGAGGCCCATCTGAGATGCGGCACGGCGATCTGCAAGAAGAGAAACAAAGCTCAGAAGCAAGGAGCTCAAAGCGGCAGACCAGTCAGAGTTGCATGTTTTGGCCCCCTCCGAATCGATCGATGCTCGCGTTGCGCTCTCATGCGAGGTCCATGCACGCTCAATCAAGCGGCAGCAGATGCATGCATCCACGCTTTGCTCGCCCAGCGGGCTTCCCTTGTACATATGGAGAGGCGTTGGACACGATGATAAACGCGGGGTGCGTTGCGTGCACCCCTCTTTTTCTGTGCGTGCTGTCGCGGGTCAGCCACACCTACTACTGTGTAAAAGGTAGCCAGCCGCGCAAACACCTGACGATCGCGTGACCAAACGTCACCATGCTGGATCCCGCTAGTGTTCTGCCGTGCGCCCCCTAATCTGAATCAGAATTGTGGAGAATCGTGAGTGACAAGTGCAGGCGCGACAGGACCGTTGCGGAGACGCGAGACGGGCCATCAAGAAGTGCTGCTGCCGTGAGAATACGCTTCTGGCGGCTGGAGCGCAAAGCAACGCTACAGTCGGGACTCCCGCGCGGCTTGCCTGCGACGGGAGCTCAAACAAGCACCCGAGGCTCCGTGTGATTGCTCCACTCGTGAGCGGCTTGCGCGGATCTGTTGAAGCATTCCCGTCACAAGCTGGGCGCTTGTGAGCGCTGGAGGCTGCGTCTGCGATCGTGGAAAGAGCCACACAGGCGAGGATCACATGAGAATGGATGACATTTGCATTTGGAGATGGCGACAAAGGATGAAAGGGGCTACACTTGCGGATGTGGAACAGAGAACCGAGCCAGGGCGCACGAGAAAATAAATGGACCGCGGATGAGGGTTGGGCTGAGGGCGTCATCGCCCAAGGCGGCATTGCCCGCTTCCCCCATGACCAAACAAATGCGCGCGACTGGTGAAAATCAAGGAGCGAGAACGAAACGAGGCAACGATCCAATGCTCACGGACACGAGACTCGTCGCTCACCGCTTGTCAATACGATCGCGAGGGCGAACGCCGTTTCTTCTTGACGTCTGAAGCAGCGCGAGGTCCTCACAAGAGCATCGCAGCTCAAGCGCCAGCGTTCAGAGCCTTGTTGAGGGCTTGAAGTTCTGCAGCGGGAACGTCGGTCGCAGAGGTCTGCTGTGCATCTATGGGAGTGTTCAAGGAACCTTCTTCGGTCGCACTGTATAGGAAAGCAGGGACCAAATGTGATGCTCAGCTGGATGCGCGATAACAACACATGTTGCCATCATGGACTTCTGCCCTTGACCGACCGTCGCTTCTTCGTTGGGGCGTCTGCGTTTGGCGCCTCGGCAGAGCCTTCCCTCGCGCGAGTCTTGTTCTGTGGCGACCGACAAAAAGTCAATGTCGAGTGCAAGGCGCGAGTCAGGGCGCGCCGAGAAGAGAAGAACGACAAGTGAGTGCAGCTGGCCGGGCAAAAGTGGCGCTGAGCTTTTCAAGACGCACCTTGTTCCCTTTGCTCTTGGACGCTTTGGCTACGGGTTTTCCCTGTGCGCCAAAGACCGATGCGGGCAACTCGGAGCTTGGAGTGAACGACATGACGGCGATCAGCAACTACCAAATCTCTATGAGAGGTGCAGCGAGGGCCCACGCACCTCTTGATATGCCGAACACTGATTCCCATACAAGACTCGTCGTACTGCTCCCACTGTTTGACTTTCGATGTGAATTCTGTTGTGGGCCATGAAATATCTAGTCTTTGCTTGACCCCACCGGTGGGCGGTGCTGTGGCAAGTCGAGAGCGGCTGGATGAGTCAAAATGCGAGGGGCAATGTAACACGGGGAGACACACCTTTGTTGACCTGAAGGCCGATGTAGAATGTTGTGGTCCAAATTGTCCTGCCCTGACCTTCAGCTTCCGCCTTCTTGGCCTCCTCGTCCTTCCTTTGCAGAGCCTCCTTGTCGCCTCCGGCAGGAAGCTCTTCCTTTTTCGTTCGCTCCGCAACCTCTTTCGGAATGTCTCCAGTGGCAACAAGTCGCACCTCGTCATCGTTGAGACACTGCGATACTTGGTTGAAGCCCTTGACGAAAGGATGTGCAAGCTGAAGCATCGTGACCTGCTCAAGCTTCATCACCAAGCCTCTGATTCTACTTTCCACGGTACCTGCCCACTTGAGTTGCAGATCAGCTGAGCCGCTAGAGGCGATCACTTGCAGATAATTGCGGTACTGCGAAAAGTAGTCGTGATGCGCAAAAAGCTCGGTCCACGTACTCTGCTGGTCCATGATCCGCTGCGCCACTTCCGCCCCGCGCTTGAACTCGGCTGTGATGATTTTCTGAGTGGAAATGCTGATGTTGTGGGTGGCACACATGGAGGGATAAGCAGGGGTGATGATAGGCATGCGATGCAATCGATCTGACGGATATAGCTTCCGAGGCAAAGGCACGGATGTGAGCTTGACTGCCGCGTCACTTTCTCTCGGGCACTTGCACGCACTTTGGGATTCCACACGCGCACTTGCAAAGGCCCATCCTCAATGTCTTTGAGGACCACGGGCTGCGGCCACTTCCACTGAGCCATGAGCATGTAGAAGCGGCTGACAATGAGGCTTGCGGCGGCATTGGGGTAGAGCTGACAAACGCGCGCGACGAGCATTGCCCATGCTACACCACCCGGAAAGCCCATGACGTTAGAATAGATGGCTCGACCTGCAGTGTTTTGGCGGGCGGTATTCAGACAAAGTCGAGCCTTGAGACGATACCAGACTAGCTGAAGACTTACGTTGTGCCCACAATTTGATGCAGCGCAACGCATCGCGAAACACTTGGACATTGGGAACAAGCCGCAAAATTTCATCCGTGACTCGTGAGCCTGCGTCATCCAGCATCGGGTACGCCAGTCGTGAGCTCGAAAAGCGAAAGAGAGGCGTGTGGGTTGTAAGTGAACTCACCACCCAAGCTGCGGACATCGCGCTCGTCTAGATTTCTGAGAAGATTATCATCCTGCAAAGACAAGCTGTCCTCGATCTTGGGAAGCGCAAGGCGACCAAACAAAAAGTCGATGGAGATGCCGGAAAATTTGCAGCCGATGATAGGGACAAAGGCTTCGGGCACAGGCGACACCTCCGTCACCTCTTCTCTAGCTCGTAGCATTTGCTCAAAGACGCCAAAGAAGTCTTCTCTTTGTACGTGCTTTGGCACGACGCAAAGAGTGTCCACATCTGCTCCTGGACCGTGCACACCGAGACTGATATTGGCATGGGACAAGGCGGTGGAGTGAGGGACCTCGCCGAGTGTTTGCGGACGATCGCAACCCGCAATGTTCTTCCCTTTACGCACCGATAAGAGCCGAAAGCGAACACCTTGCCACCAGCAGCCTGAGCGGCGCTCTCACTAAAGCCGCGAGCAATGCTTGCACGGTACACGAAGTCCTTCACCATGCCCGAAATCTTGCCAAGAACGACTTCCCTGCCGACGGATCGAATAGTTGGAGGTGCGTGCCTGTCGTCAGCGATGCAGCAAGGCATCATCAAACACCCATATCCTGGAGCACTTGCCTGAGCTTGCCTTCCTCTTTGCTCTCGTAACATCCCTGCTTATGCATTTCTTCGATCAGCAGCCTCGTCATCTCAACCTCTTTTGGTGTCGGCCCAGCAGAGGAGACTGGCGGAGTGATTCCATACTGCTTAGTAGGGCCGTTGACCGCTGCGCTTGTAGCGCTACCGCCCGCAACAGGCATCATTGTTTTAGCAGGACCAAAGACTAGGCTGGAGAGGGGAAAAGAGGGGGGGAAGGTGGGAGAGCTAGGGCCGCAGAGCCAGTGACGAAGTGCAGTGCAAAAATGTGTAGCGTTGCTCCCCTACACAGTGCTCTGCGGCAGGCCTCGATAGTCTGACCGCGTGGACAGCCTGTGCGCCTATCAAGCCGGGATCGTTCCGAGGAAGTCTTCTGCCAGGAAAGGCCTTGGATGTGGCGCCGAGAGCCTTGTTGATGATGGATCGCCATTCACCGAGTGATTGAGGGTTGTGGAAGTTGAGAGGTGCAAACAACACACGCCGCCCTTTGCGAAGCGACCGACGCGCTCGCTTTCTTTGCGCTCAATCATCACGCAGGCGGTGCATGACATGACATGCACGCACGTC